CCGCTTTAAACCATCAACATTATGGTGCATTTTTAATAGCACACACAAAATATGTTTGCGTCCTGATTGTATCTTTAATCTTGTTTCTACAGTGGAATTGCTGTAACGAAAGAATTTTTGAAGTGACCGTAGCGGGATACGTCGGCTATATCCTCAACGTTACGTTCTGTGTAGCATCGTTGATTTTATTCTCGTATTTCAAGTAAGTATCTCCGTCGCGGTGGGTCCTTCTCTGGTATCCTCGCAGTGAATAAATACTGCTGAATAATCCACAGTGTACAATACATTCAATTGATGCAAAATAAAATGAACGAACGACAAATACTGTATTCTCGGGGGCGATGCTACGTCACAGAACGCTCTATGTTGCTTGGACATACATCACTGTAAAATGTATGTTTATGGGCTATGCGCACTGCTTCGGAGTGCCAGTAACAGCTAAAGTCAGGAAAACAGCCCTTTAAGGTGATCCACTGTTTAGAAGAGTGTCAACAACTTGCCCAAAGTTATTATTATTATTATTATTATTATTATTATTATTTTCATAATTGAATGTCTTGAATTGAAATTTCACCGTGACAGCTGTTGGATGTGAACAAATGCTAACCCGTTGTTTCTGATTATTTTTCAGATGTGTTTCTGACACTGTGAACGTTCACAGAAACTTGGCATTGTCGGTTATTTTTGCCGAAACAGCTTACATTGTGGGCGTAACTAGACGGGAAAACGCGGTAAGTTGCCTTCATTGGAACACATACTGTGATGGATTTATCGCGTTTTAGCATTGTACATTTTCTGTATGAATCATCATGGTCTGTGTAGCATCCATAGCTTCCAATCTCACTCATTTTTTCACAAAGCATATTCCCACTCATCACGGACGACCACTGGCGCCACAATGCGTGTGGGACGCGTTCGCCAATTTCTTCGCTTCTTTTTATGACTTTTGGTTTCATGAAAGAAACAACAAATCTTAGTGGTGACGTCTTGTCCTGCTTTGTTTCGGACAGAAGGATGAACATGTATATTTAGGTTAGAATTCTCGTCCGATTAATGTTTCGATTAACGGCATGTGTAAAAATCCTTATTAGCTTATTTTTTCTCCCATGATGCTCAGTCCCAACGGATTAAATACTGTCGACATAACCGTGACGCCCTCCGTATTTTTTGCATTTCAGGACGTATGCAAAGGATTCGCAATTTTACTCCACTACTTTTTTACAGCCGAATTTTGTTGGCTATGCAACGAGGCTTTCAATTTATATGTAGAAGTCGCCAATTCTATACACGTAGAAACGCAACAACAGAGACCTATGTTGAGATATTACATAATAGGATGGGGTGAGTGATTTCATTGCCGCCCTCTATGGTATAACATGTAAATGTTTCAACGGCCGCCGATGGTGGCGTTGTTGGCTGTAAAATAATGAGCATATTTATACGACAATTAGTACTAACTCGCTTGAGAAGAAAATATATTTTTAGATTTATGGTGTTGCATTATTTGTTTAATTCATTGACAAAATATAGTTTTCTGGGTGTTACATGTTTTCTTTGTTTGTTCTAGTATTTCCCGGTGTTTTGGTTGGTGCACTAGTCGGTGCGAATTGGGATAATTATTTCGCGGATGACGTGTAAGTACATGTTGCTATTTGAGTCCATTATATTGTCAATTGATATAAACAACGTTTAATTCCCGCGAAACAGCGAAATACATTCGTAATTTCTAGAATATTTTTACTTCCCGCTACAAACTCAGCTACAAACTCACCACGATTACTTGATTACTTCCGGTCTTAGTACCCCAGTGTTCTTTACTTACTAAGCACGTAGTAGTTTTGTGTAATGTTATTTGTTCTTCAGGTGCTGGGTGAAAATGGAGCAAATCTGGTTATTTGTAGGGCCGGTGGCAGGAGTATGGGCTGTAAGTTCTCTAATTCACAACAATAAGCCTACATGATATGTAACCATTCTGTCGTCAACCCTCTAAACTCCGAAACAACTTCAATCATATTTTTCAACCTAAACTCTAATTCTTCACATATTTGTTCAAAACTTGTTAGCAGTGGTTAATCATAATCAATTCGTCCAAAATAAAAAAAAATATATATATAGAAAAAAAATATCGCAAAACTGAGTGAAATGTTACAACAAAATTTTGATGGGAAACATAATGGAATTCGGGAGAGACGTGTATTTATATCACGTATGTACGCACATGAAAATGATATTAATTAAATTTCCAATTAACGTAAGTAGTTTATATTCTATCAAATAATAATAATAATCTACCCTGTTATGCAATTGCCGTCGATATTGTGTTTATTTTTTGTGTGTATGACATTGCAAATACGACGAATTAATGTTCTCCAACCTATAAAACCATAATTTGCCAATTCACCGGATGCAGGAAATGTTATTATCGGGCTGCACACTCTGACAATGTCTTCATTAGACCAGCAAATTAAACAAGCTCGGAGTTAATTCATTTTAGGCAATTACTTGGAACTCAGTCATTGTGACCAGAACTATGACAAATGACAATTATGAATGTTTTAAAATGTCTTTATTAACAGCGTACACTCAATTGACCCCCCATGCTTATGCGATGAATGTATATCCAGTGTGTTTCCCATCATTTAATAATTGTACCATTCAAAACTGCTTTTTGAAAGCATAATAGTATATGTACACACACATTGTACACAAACATTGTTTTGAAAACACGTTCACTTTCATTGGTCATTCAGCATTCCAGTTACGAAATTAAAGCCTCATTATTTCTCGTCGCAAAATACGTTCTAAAAACTGAACGCTGTACAAACGCAAGTGTGTTTTTTTGGCTGATTAAACATTTAATTATTTAAAACCGTATGTTATCTATTGCATGGCAGATGACGGATGGCGTCGGTCAACGTCAAGACAAAATTAGAAAACCATCTGCACCTGCTGCATGGCTCAGTGGCGGATCCAGCAAAATGTATTGGGGGGGGGGGGCGGTCCAAGCTACGCTTAAGATATACGGACCGTAAATCGCAGAGAAGCTATGCGTAATCCAGATGATACGAATCGTCATGCGTTGGGGGGGGGGCATGGACCCCTGGCCCTCCCTCTGGATCCGCCACTGGCATGGCTGGTATTCTGTCTTAGCTTATTTATTGGAATTTGTTAATGACGTGTAATATAATTAGATAATTAGAAAAGTGAACTACGGATGATTACGCATCTATAGAAAAACGTAAAAACATCATTAATAATTACTACTACGTAACCATAGTAACACTTCAAGAGGCAATATCGGAAATGTTTTTAGTTTACGCCAAATAATGATTTGCTACTTAAGTAATGTAACAGACAAACTTAAAAGTTATCCATGTTGCCGTGCAATGCGACCACTGCACAGTTAGATAGAGGTCAAAGTGCGGTGGCGACAGCATATTGACAAAAGAAAGCCACCTGTCTTTTTTATAATGGTTAATTTGCATAACATTATAAGAAGATAGGTTGAAGACCAATTTAATTTGTTATGAAATGAACCTTATTCTCATCGTACCATTTCTCCAATATAGATTACCTGTTTTGTACTAACTTTCACTGGTAAAGACATTGTTGAAAGTTCGTATTCAAAAGATAAACTAGCCAATAAAGTTGTGAGGTAAGCGTCACACACAAATACTAAGGCTCCTTTGTAACGAAGTGACCGTGTGGTCAAATTTGCACCACGTTCGCTGTTGCTACCCTAAAAACCGGCCTAGTAACTACCGGCTGAGTAAACTGTATTACGCGACTCTGACGCGCATGCGTATATATCACGTATTTTTTTTAATGGACGACATTATTTTGCATGTAATCGAATGAATTACGTCAGACATTTTTATTTTTACGATTTCCAGATATTCACAATAAGATTGCGTTTACCTAGAATTAATGTACTGATATTCTTTTGTTTATTTTGTTTCTAGCAACCACTGCAAAGGATGCTGGGTACAGATGACGCTGATTATGATATCATGGGTTTTTGCATTTGTCTCCATCAAAATGATCGGCATCATTTTACAAGTCTTGTACGCCTTCTTTGTAATACTCCAGGTGGGTAAAGCGACTTAATTTCGTGCCCGTCTTGCGGGTTGCATCCGGTTACCATGACATTTTGGAAAGGCTTCTTCACCACCGCCAGATAACTCTAATAGGCGTGGATGAATTTTATGATGATTTTTGAAGGGTTTGCCTACCATGGGCCAATCACTTATATTTGAGGAGATATGTCGATCCGGTTGTCAAGGAGACTGGATTAATTGGAAAGAGTCTTCGCCATTGCCGCAGATAGGGTTATTTTTAAGCATAAGTGCTGTTCAGCCATGGCGGATATTTTGTGCTCTTTGCATGAAATCTGCAGAATTTGCAATAATTTATTGGCAATGAATGTATGAATGTATGTGTAACTTCCTTCCCACTTATAAGGGTTCGTTCCGTGGTCACACTGAATGGGAACCAAGAGAAGTGTTATAAACAAACAATGTCATGAAGATGCTTTTTATGTATCCAAGATAGTATATAGTGTTATTTATACTTTTATTCCATATACCATGGCATTCCGTGTAATAAAGCAGAGTAATATTTGTCTATACTACTATACTATGTAATACAAAATCAGGCAATCTGATTGGTCCATGCAAGCAGATTGAACTTTTGACATCACGAGTATCACAAAATACTCCAATAGGCCTATGTTTTTAAACAATATTTTTTGAAATATTAACATGAAGGGATTTATATTATTTCGATTATTGTTGGTAATTTTAAATGCCAGTAATGTGTGATATGTAACCGTATATATTTGAGACTTCATTTTAAAAATTCATTCAACCTCAACTTCTCTTGACACAGGAATTTGTTTCACCGATGTCTGGTGTCGATTTTTTCACGGATTGTGAAAAAAAACACGGTTTGAATTGGCTCCACAATAAGTAATCATTATTTAAATCATGGTCACGTGATGAATACGGCTTTGTTTTATGGGGCACAACCATTAAGTGACACTGATTTGCCTAATTAGTTCCCTAGCTGTCGCTAATTGGGTAGTTTCGGTGAATCAATTGCCGCTGTGAATACGCGTCTAAGCGGCACTTTGATTACGGCAGCTTACGTCAAATAGCCACAGAAATTATAAGAACGTTTATTGGTCGATTCAAGACAGATCACACCTCTGACAGACACCCCTGAAACCGTAACTATAGTGATGCTTCCGAAAATAGCTATATTTCTTAATCGCAATAGGTTAAACTAACGGTAATCAGTGATTTTTTTATGCAAATGAGCCAAGACGCTCAACGGTGAGTTGAATCATAGACCTTAGAAAACATGTTTTCTAATGTCTATGGTTGAATACGCGTACACAAATAACGATCACTGCGCCAGTGCTTAGCCGTTAGAAGCTGCGAACCAAGTATACACGGGCTAAACAGGATATCATATTCGTTACCTTACAATATCAGATTTATTAAACTCACGTAATAATTGTTCAAGGCTTGGGACAAATGAAAAATTACCAGATTTGTCACTCACATGAGATATCCTCGACGTGCTATATAGTTGGTAGGAGGTGACTTAATGACAAGGAAAAAATTACGAAGATTTCCCTTGTCGCTACCTTACATGAAACCAAAGTCACCATTCATCTATCTTGCAAAATGTTAAGCGTGATGCTTCATGAGAGCGCAATCATGATGACAGCTTTCATGAATCGTTACTAAAATCGTGTTAGCTCGAAATATTTTTCTGTTTCCTCTATTATTGAGTTGAATCACATGCAAATTAAACTAATTGCGAAATTGGTTGCCTTATAATAAGCATTCAGTGTACGGGATCATGATGGTAGTCCTCTCCAACATCAATACAATTCTATCCAACAACTGGTAGGGGTAATTCGTTAATATAATTGAATTTGAATAAGTGTTAAACCTACCTATATTCAACCTGTTCATCTATTCATTATAGTTCTTTCATCATTTCGAATAATCTTGCATAATAAAACCATGCTACCATTCATTGCGACAATAATGATTTAATTCTACAATTGGCGAAGTGTTTTTTTAATCTTTAGCTTCTGAATAAGCGTCTTTGTTCATAAGCAATATGATCTCAGACAAATGCCGGTTAATCGTACAGCACAAATGTAGATATCGACATTAGCCGAAGGCATCCTTTCTGATGTACAGGTTGGACTTCTAATTCAATTTATTTGCACACTTTTCTAATTTATTTCGGTTGTCATCCGAGGATTATCGGATCGTTGGCCACCATATGTAATTCAAGTCGTCAGTAATCTGAGTTAGTGGGCGTGGGAAAAGTCGATTACTTGATAGGAACATGATCGCCATTATCAAACTGGGGTTGATGAAGCTATTCCATGATGTGAATTCAACCGTGACAGATTTATACAGCAGTAGTTTACATTTAATCCCAATCGTCGAGAATTCAGGAGTGTACGATGCCTTCAGTTTTAATGATTTTATCCCATGCAAATCGGTCTCTTTCAAAAATCGTGAACTTATTTCTGATTTAGAAAAAAAAATGTATTCAAAGATTCATTAGATGACAAATGTGTGACTATATCAATACAGTTCACGTCGATTCCAGTTCTAGTTGATTTCTTGCTTCAATTGGTAACGTCACGTTTCAATCATAGTTCAAGCAATTTCAATTTATTTAAATTACCACTTAAAATGACGGCGCCCGGCAGATAATAGTGTCGTTTAACAGCAATATGCCGGACTGGCATGGTCTAAATTGCTCCGTCGATACATGGACATTTATCGCCCCATTTCCATCCTTTACGAGTAGCAGATCCAATCGGATAACCGCCCAACTTGTATATCTCATTTATCTTTTTAGATTGGATATTTTTTTTTCATAAACGTTTTCAACTATGCTAAGGTGTTATACACATGGGATGTACGCCCTGTGTCATATTGAAGACATTTTGCACTTTGTACGCTCTGACATACTGAAAATGTAACCGCACTCGAAGTTGAAAAAAACACATAATCTTTTATCGGAGCTTCTGTGTTTATTAGCGGAAAGTGCTGCCTCGTCTAGTTATATGATCTAGGAGCGGGTCCCCAGGTACTCTTTGATAGAAGCCAACTAAAAGCGTTTATCAGTACCCTTTCCTTCTCTTAGGAACGCCGAGTGTTTCTCATTTTATTACTTAGGCTAAATTATTTAAGATAAGACAGAAATGCATCGTGGCAGTTTATTAAGAAATTCGTTTGTGCTTTAGATCATCCGACACGATTTTACGGTCTCTGGCAGCGGTGTGAAAAATAACGATTGTCTTAGCATTGCAACGATTGAAATATATTAGAAAGTGAATTGAGTTGATATGTATGTGCTTACGGTTTATGGCCCTGTATCACCCATTTTTACAGACCTGCTAAGTTTTCGTGAAGAGTTCGTGAACTTACAATTGTTTGTTGATACATTGCAAGTCTTTATTTAGGAGACTTCAAACAGGAGGCCCGGCATTTTCCATATTCAATAAAAGAATAGTATGACTCAGAGAAAACGATGGCATATCGCAACGTATTAGAAAACTACCGGAACCGGAAATGAAAATGTACAAGGTGTAAATTTCAAGACCGAGCTACATAGACTGATCGATAAAACATCATTGCTTTTTAAATAACTTTCTTAATTGCATCGCAAGGACCTATTAAAAGCTAACCATTATTGAAGAGATATACAAAATGAAATTAACGATAGATACTTTTTTTAAAGGTTTAAACTTAAGAAATATATGGGTAGTTGATTTCATTAATTAAGTACGACATAAACTCAAGCTCTTTTAATAAAATTTATCAACCTAATTTGTCTATTTGACAATAAACGCATTTCATGTGTATATTAAATTGTTTCGATACTTTTCAAACATGTATATGTAGTATGGCGTGGTACTTTGTTGATTTATAATAGCTGAGAACTGAACATCAAATTTTGTTTTTTGTGTACCAGGAGTTATATTAACTTATAACGTTATTACGTTTGTATAATTATTAATTTGACATCACCATAATTTATACTAAGAGTGAAAACAAATATTTTAATTAAAGTTGCAGAAAACATTATGATGTATTTGTAAGCATGAGTGATACAATAGAATACAACAAAGTGTTATTTTGTCTCGTTTTGATACTTCATAGCAATTTTCTGTTTTTGCATTGCCGAATATTTCTCCGTCTTTTGTTTTCTACACTTTTTAAAGTTCTCTGTGGATGTATTCTCTGGCGTGGGGCAAGTGTCAGTCTATTGATGTTGTTCCTGACAACACTAGAATAATGCATTTGTATATTTTTTCTGACTTTCACCTCAAATTCTTGTTGTATACACTAGTTAGTTTAATTACATTTAATTAATGTTTACAAATTCACTAGAGCTCGTATGTAAAGATTCGAAAGACTTTTTCCTTTAAAAATTGATCTATTGCTCAATTTGGACTGTTTCATTATCTCGAATTTTTTTATTTATCAGGATAATTTATTGCTTTGAAAAATATATCAAATATACCATGTATATTGCAATATAAACAACATTTCACGTGAGTTTAATGTAAATCATACATTGACATATTATTTTTTGTTTTTTTTTACTTACAGGGGTCATTTTTATTTGTGTTTATGTGTATTCTTAATGGCGAAATGGCTATTGCCTTGAGAGATCGAAGAGCACGTCTTGGTTTAGGAGTAACCGGAACATCATTCTCCAGCAAATACAGCGTTTACAGACGCACGCCAACGTCTCCAAGTACGCAACGACCAAGGCCCGACATCCCAGATATAAATACCCCAGGAAGTAGAAATAGTTCATTTTCAGGTAGAGACGAAGAGGGCGTGTTCCAGAAAAGTACCAACCATTTTGTAAGTTAAATTGTTTTTTTCTGTTTTTCTGTGTAGTAGACTTTCGGAGAAATATGAAGTTATTTAATTTTAGTGTCGCATTTGAAAAAAAAAATCACCATGGCAACACACTGGATTCTTTCTTCTTCTTTACTGAATCCCCATGACGACTGCATGCCAATTTACTGTTAAAATGCTGATAAAACTCTCCCAAAATTTAATAAAAGTGTTGCCAATGTGTGGCAACTGCTGTAACCGTAAATGCATTGATGATTCTGAAAATAAACTATTTGTTCAATCGCAGTCGATAAACTGACCACTGATTAGAACGCCCAATGAACAGTGTCCCCCTGTATGCAAATGAATAAAACGCGCTAAAAAGCTTATGACCCGCGCACACACATAACAAATCTAATGTAATTGCTACATGCGTAGGATAAACAAGATATAAAAATTTGTGACTCACGATACCAGATTTATTAAACGCGTGTCACAATTTCCATATATTCCTTGCAAAAAGCTTGAGACATTAGGTAAAATTGCTCTTTTAATAAATCTGATATCGAGGGTAGCTTATTGAATGCCCGCTATATAGAATATACACAGGCTAATGAAATATGTGTGAAAATACCACGCCAGCCAAAGAAAATAAAAGTGAGCAAACGTATTAGTTCTGAGTACAACTTACATTATGTGGAGCATAACAATTGTGTCCTTCTTATATTAGAATATATAACATATAAGTCAGCACATTGTACATTAATTCGCAACACTGTAAATATTACATTTATTCTTGCTAATGCAATATGGATGAGAATACGTCATTTTTAATATTATTGCTTTAATACTACATGTAAATGATTCATTGCATTTTGATTTACCTGAAACTAAAAACGTTGTCCATGCAGCACACGACAAAGTATTCATTAGGTAAAACAATAACATGCGCATGTACAGTGCATATTTTGGTACGTACACTAAAATCACCACATATGTTTATTAGTGTTTTCATTTAATATAATACAAATGCAATATATTTAGTTAAAGTTATATTAGGATAAATCATAATTATTCAAGAACGTGCAGTACAATTTTAAACAAATACATATTTTCGTTTACTATGATATTGCACCTCAGCGAAAAAAAGAAAAGAATCCTTGCTTGTGATGATGGTTAATTGTACTCCATATCGTCGATTTCACTCGATGAAACAGAAATCCGCTTGCATATGAATATCGTAACTTAAAATTAGCACGTTTAACTTCTTTGAATGTCTGGCGCATCCCCACTCCTTCACTTTGTGTGATACTAGCTTTCATGTATATACGTTTTTAACTAATGCGTTTGAAGTCGGAAAATATATTAGAATATTAACAAATTCCAAGATTATATGAAAATTCCCCCAAATGACTTGAAAATTAAATTCAATACTGAAAATGAAAAGCTGATACAATGCAACCTGACATATAATAACACAACTACAAAGATGGCGGGGTATCTCTAAAAAAACTGCTTTGAATACATTTCAATACAGTTGTAACGTATCACTTCCCAGTGGACTCCGCGGGACAGTGAGAATATTTATTAAAAAAATGAATGTTTATGTATTGGAAAGGTGAGATAATGAAAAGGAATGCACATCACGCACGTTTAAATCAATTCACTCTGAACGTTATTTATGCAAAGTGAGATAAGACTCGTGGATATAAATTTCTGACCTTTTCCAGAGAATTGAAAGCTTCGCTGAAAGATAACGATATCAATGGAGGTGTTAATTTCAATAGTGTAATGTTTTGGTTTCCTGTTATCGCCGTGGCTATACCTGAATTATTCTCATTCAATACTTTGCCTGTCAACTTTGATAAGAAACGACAGATTTCCAACATTTACTGTCTGCGTTCTTTGAAATTTACGACACGGGAATGGAAACCTGTTAAGCACGACTGAAATGACAAATATTAGAGTGGCCATGGGAATACATCTATCTCTTGCGCTGCTATTATATGTCCCTAGAGAGTGGGTCTACAAAGACATTTTATGCATCTTTTCTCATCAGTAATACTTTGAAATAAGAACACGAATACATAATATGAATTATGACGTTTTTTTAAAACTGCGGCAGCACATCAGCATGGGTGTTAGGAAAATAAATATCATAATATATCTATAAATGTTTTAGTGTTTACAGTCTGAGTAGATACCCAGTTTTATTTATAGTTTTTTTTTCTATATTCTCGCACACAGGAGATGAGATCCCGATCTGCTGCCGCGGCGGAGCCGAATCAGCCGGTCGTTATTGAACTGAGTGAAGAGATCATCACCAGTGTGTAATGCGAAGTAATAATAGAAGAACGTTATGAACTATAGCAACGTTTATCACAACGCATATTGAGTTGATTTTTACGTCAGAACTAAATCAAGTGATCACGTCAAATCACTCATAAATATGGAGGTGTTTCATTCGGGCTGGTGACTAGCTGAATTGACCCCGAATAGTCTTGAGATTCGTTCTGTTTATCAGTTACTTCATGAGTATCAAATTCATTTTTCTTGAATCTCCACCAACAATAAAATCAAAAAAGTTGGCATTTTTAAATTAATTTCTTAGTAAAACAATGCATGAAGCTAGTTATTTCTGTATATGCAAATACGTAGGCTGTGTAGAAGACACTTGTACATACTTACACAATACACTATGCATTCAATCATAAGTTTGTAATTTATTCTTAATACCATAGTATTTGAGTATTACTTTTGTAAATAAAGCGAAGATCGAAAGAAACTGTGTGAACTCAAACATGGATTATAATTTTGTATAACCTTCAAGATACAATATAGACGAGAACAAGTATTTTCCATATCAAAAAATTGGAAAAAAATGTAGTCGTTCTTGGTACCTATACAATACAACCAAATACATTATCTAGCACGCAACGTGCCTTTTCAGAATGTCTCTTTCCTTGTGGAGACATTTTTATCCCCGTTTAATGTCCAATCGCGGATTGCATTTGGATAAATGAAATATTCTGTCTTTCTTATACAAAATATAACCTAAACTTATTCAATATTGAACATTTACAAAGAACTACGATTACCAACTATCATTTTTGATAAAAATACACCCCGTTTTTGATAAATCAAAACACCCTTATTTTATTGGAAACAACAATAAGATACGCTGACTTCTCGTTAAAGGGCGAGGCTCGTCTTACTGCGCATGTTAGACATTTGTGTTTATAAACGTTGATTTTCCCACAATTCAATGCGCTCTTCTAATGGGAATCACGAGTTTGAAGTTTGACCTGGGGGTGACGTGCACTAATTACCGCCGGTGACTCCTTCGATATCTTCCAATCACTTAACAAATACAATATTAAAGCTTCGTATCGTCTAAGTTTGTACTTGTTGATTTGCACAACAGTTAAAGTCGCCATCTTTGTTTATATGAGGCCCATATATCTCGCGCATGCGTGGCACGACGACTACCACCCTTTAAGTTAGAACGTTCCTGTGCGTTTGATGTGACTGGTTTTGGCAGAACTTGTAAAACAATTATATATTGATTTACGCCACCAAAACACTTTTCCGTTGTCTTTCTGTTTCAACTTTAAGTTTCTCCATTAAATTCAGAATCCAGAATTTAGAATCCAGAATTCAGAATCCAGAATTCAGAAGTGTACGTGTTGCTTTAATGTTTGCGACATCAGAACTATTTATTAATGTCCTGTTTAATTAATACGAACAACACAAACAATTATGTTTTGCAAGGTGATACACTAAAACTGGGAAGAAAAAAAAAACACTCGATTCCCTGCGTCTAACAGCCATATAACACAAAGGTTCTATCAAGTTTCAAGTTAGTCATTTATTGTATAAACTATTGCCTTAATAACTTTGAAAGAAGTACACTTTCCTAGCGTAAATCATGCACTCTTTTAATTTTATCTTTTAGTTTTAGGGCGTAAAACTGTTATTAAACTTTCTAAAGTAACCGGGTAACTAAGCGCGAAACGTTCTTCGTTGCCATTCCGGGCTGTTGTCCACAAGCTACTCAGTCTCAGTCGTTACGATCCCCTTCCGGGATCATGGTACTGCTTTCGTGCATACTTTGCGATGTCCTCGTAATAACAAACCTAAACCTAATCAATTACATAAAATAAATTTCCTGTCCTCGAGACATTCCCCGCCTCCACAACATTAAACAAATTGTCACCTGCCTTCAAGAGATTAGAAACTGTTACCCTGCCCTCAAGAACAGAGTTGTTGATGAACAGCTCCGAGCCCACTGACTGCTATTGATGCATCCAAACAACACAACACAACACAGCACACAGAGAAAGCGGTACCGTACAAACAAAGAGAAACACGGCCAGTTGGGATACCGGAGTGTTGGGATGGTGGAAGCACGTATACCTAGACCATAGCGGGACGGCATGACACTAACACGTTTGTCTCAGTACAGAGTCGCTGAATAGTCGGTATATATTTATACACGGGCGGCGACTCAATCCCACCCGAAGCACGATACCACATGCGAGCTTTGAAACACACGCACATTACGAGCAAGCAAGTCGTTGCTTTGGTAGGATTTTACGGCGCGCGGTGTGTACGGTGTTGTAGAGCATATGATAACGACGAACACCTGTACTGGGTTCATGGTGTTAATTGATGAAAGCAATTAAATAGCGGCGTTCAAGCCTGGCTTGTGATTAATATAAACAAGAAAATTATATGACATACCATTCCATCAAGTTATCTGACAGCAGTATTAAAATGTAATATTAAAATAGTAAAATATGATGATTTATGAGCTGTGTTGGGGATTTAATGTTAAAAGAAGCTTTATATTACATTTTACTCAATGGATAGTCAATATGATATCTTCAAGTTCAACAATAAAACGACAATTCATCACACAAGAAGCAATCACGTCTCCCTCGTAAAAGCAAATCAACTGATGATACGACTCAACTGGCGAAGATGAAATATTATATGAACTAAGAAATTTGCCCAGTGACATA